TGCAAGCATATGCGATCTGCAAGCATATGCCAGATGCGATCTGCAAGCATATGCCACATTCGATGTGCAAGCATATGCGATCTGCAGCATATGCGATCTGCAAGCATATGCAATCTGCAAGCATATGCCAGATGCGATCTGCAAGCATATGCCACATTCGATCTGCAAGCATTTCTTCGTATGCTTCATATGCTTCATATGCTTCATATGAAGCATATGCACATATGCACATATGCACATATGCTTCATATGCACATATGCACATGTGTTTCATATGCACAAATGCTTCATATGCAAGCATATGCCACATGCGATGTGCAATCATATGTGCTCTGCAATCATATGTGATCTGCAAGCATATGTGATCTGCAAGCATATACGATCTGCAAGCATATGTGATCTGCAAGCATATGCGATCTGCAAGCATATGCCAGATGCGATGTGCAAGCATATGCAATCTGCAAGCATATGCGATCTGCAAGCATATGCAACGGACAAGCACGACACATACTGTCCGCGCAATGCAGGTATCAGCCATCAGCCAGCACAGGAGCTACGGCCCACTCGCGCGAACAGCGCGCTCTAGTCCGTCCGTCTGTCTGTCCACCACGTCGCCGGTTTAATCCCCCTCGCGCGCGCGTCTTTTTTTTTCGCGCTTTTCTTTTCTTTTTTTTTCTTCGTATGCTTCATATGCTTCATATGCTTCATATGCTTCACATGCACATCTGCACATATGCTTCATATGCACATCTGCACATATGCTTCGTCTTCACAAACGCGCAGTTCGACGCGCAAATCAACGTGCAATTCTCTGCGTAATTCAACGCGCGCTTTAGCGCACAATACGATGCGCGCTTGACCACGCGCTTCAATTCCGCGTCTGGCTGAGTGCCGTACGCGTTTTGTACAGCGCCGTTCTTCGCTTGTAAGCTTTGACGATTCTCGCAATTCCCCTTGTCACTGTGCCGAAATACTTTCGAGATTTTTGCTCTTTCTTTTCGCTTCTTTCACTTCGACGCGCGCTTTAATTCCGCGTCGGAACGAATGCCGTACGCGCTTTATACAGCGCCGTTCTTCGCTTGTAAGCTTTGACATCCTCGCAATTCCCCTTGTCACTGTGACGAAATACTTTCCAGATTTTTGCTTTTTCTTTTCGCTTCTTTCGCTTCGACGCGCGCTATAATTCCGCGTCGGAACGAATGCCGTACGCGCTTTATACAGCGCCGTTCTTCGCTTGTAAGCTTTGACATCCTCGCAATTCCCTCTGTCACTGTGCCGAAATACGTTCGAGTTTTTTGCTCTTTCTTTTCGCTTCTTTTGCTTCGACGCGCGCTTTAATTCCGCGTCGGAATGAATGCCGTACGCGTTTTATACAGCGCCGTTCTTCGCTTGTAAGCTTTGGCATCCTCTCAATTCCCTCTGTCACTGTGCCGAAATACGTTCGAGTTTTTTGCTCTTTCTTTTCGCTTTCGTGTTCTTCGCCGTTCACGAGCTGATCTTCTTAACGGCTGAAATAGTATACGTTCACCTCGTCGGATCCGCTTTAATGTCGGATCAGTCACCTGCTCCGAAAAGGCTTCGGCTTGGGTCGCTTGCAGACGGCTTCCGTGGTGGCAGGATACGTCCGTTCGCCGATTTGAGTACGGGCCATGCACCTGAGCAGCAGCAGCATGCCGCAGTACAGCAGACAGCCGTACAAATAGATCCAGCGGGGCCCGCAGAGGACGGACGCCATCCAACGGCAGCTGCTGTAGATACACAGCTGGAAGGGCAGCACCGGGATGCTGCTGCTTCTGCTGCGGAAGTACGGGAGAGATGGCGGCGGCAGAAAGCTGCACAGCGTGCGGCAGCCCTTCCTGAGCTACGGTTGTTGCAGCGGCAGCAGGACGCTGCACGGCACGCGGCTGCACGTGTCGACCCGCAGGTGAGGGCGCAGGAACAGCTGCGTGACGCTGCGCAGCATGCAGCTGCACGTGCTGACCCGGAAGTAAGGGCGCTCCAGCAGCTGCAGAACACAGCACAGCATGCAGCTGCACGTGCTGACCTAGAGGTGAGGGTGCTCCAGCAGCAGCAGAACACAGTACAGCATGCAGCTGCACGTGCTGACCCGGAGGTGAGGGCGCTCCAGCAGCATCGGAACACAGCACAGCATGCGGCTGCACGCCAGCTGCAGCAGCAGAACCAGCAGGCCGCCCCTAGGGACACCCTATTGGCTCGCATGCACCGTCTCCTGCGCTTTGCGGACCTTCATCGTGATGCCGCCATTGACTTGCCCGACTTCCTTTTGGCAATTCCAGAGGGCCGCGTGCAGGACCTTCCTGGCGGTCAGTTACCGCCTGACAGGCAGGTACCGTACACCGTGCAGCTGCAGTGTGCATCGGCCATGGCTGCTGCCTTGCGCCGGCGCATGCCCTCCCGTGTCTGTGCTGTGTGCTCTGAGGTGTGCTCGGAGGACCAGTCGACGGTGCTGTACTGGATGGAGATTCCCAACGTCGACATTCTACGTGCAGACGTCATGTGTACTGACGCTGTGCAGCGCTGGGGGCGTACTTTGGTGTGGCAGCGGATGGCGCGTACAGCTCAGGGAGACGCACCACCGCCACCTGATCCGGTCCTGCCGGCTCGGTATCGTGTTAGCCGGGCTGAGCGGGCTGGTGCTGTGGATGAGGACGGCGGCAGTGCTAGTGGAGCAGGCAGGCTGGTGGATGATGCAGCGGAAGGGGCATTGGAGATGGGTGGTGATGCTCCGGAGACTGGTGATTTAGAGGCAGCGGCGGCTGGGCAGGAGCCGCCCGAGCAACTTCCGCTGGACCAGCAGCCGCGTCCTCCGCGGGTGCTGCCCAGAGCCTGCCTTGACGACCCAGCTAGTGTGGAGGTGCCGTACTGCATGCGGTTAGAGCCGGATCTGCCCAACCGCACTATGCTGGTCGGCGACGGTGTTGCAGAACGCATATTCATATGCAACGCCTGCCACAAGGCCTTGAGTGGTAAGTCAGTTTCTGCTGTTCGTCGTGTCTATGAGGTATAACTCAGTGCGGCACATTCTGCTTGCGTCTGTTCTGCTCCATTCATCTGCAGCATGTGCTTGCCTCTCCTGCCTTTGCTGCCCGCTTTCCTATTGATTCCCTAGTCGTCTCGGACCTACTTGCCCGTGCTTGCCCCCCTCCTACAGCCCGCCGAGTTCCCGAAGCTGCACTGGCGCGTCTGGACCCTGGCGATGTGCCGCGCGTCAACCATCTGGGTGACCCTCTGCCGTCGCCCACTTTCCTGGAGGGGCAGCTTCTGGGCCGCGGCCGCATCATCCAGCAGTTGCTCATCATGTACCTGGCAGACCGACCGCCGGACGTCTTCCCGCATGCTGTAAAGACTCACGGCATTGGGGTCGTAAATCCTGACCCGAATATGCTGCGAGCACAGCTGCCGGCACGGGCGTCCGACCTGGCTGGCGCTATCACGGTTGTGTGTGTCGACCAGGTTCGCAACCGGGCGGAGCTGCTGGAACGTGTGCGAAAGGCGCCAGGTCTACAGGTGCGAGGACAGGTCATCGTCGCCTGGGTCCGGTTCTTGCAGCACAACGACGAGGAGGAGCTGGCTGTTGATGAGGATGCTCTGCAGGAGTACGAACGCATGGGCTGTGCTGCAGGTGTGCCGGACGAAATCCTGCACGCCGCCCTTGCGCCGACTGATCCGGAGGTGGCGAACGTTCTCCGCACCACCTTCCTGCACGATCGCACGGGTGCGGCAGGTGTGCGGCAGTTCCAGGACGTGGTGGAAGCGGCTGTTCGTGATGGCAATCTTGCCGATGCAACTGCGGTACCTGACGTGGATCCTGTAGGACCGGTGCAGCCACCGCTGGCGGATCCGACCCCGAATGCAGGTGTGTTATTTTGTTACTGTGCTTCATGCGATCTGTTGTGTACTCTCTGCTTTCGTGTTGCCCTCGCACTGCACCTCCTGCACCGCCGCTACCGCAACTGTCCCGTGCATCGAAAGAATGCTCCTCTTGTGCTGACGAATCTCGATGCACAGCCTGACCTGCCGGATAGGCTGGACTCTTGCAGCGCACTCGCCTGTCCCGCTGGTGATGTGTTCTACTACTCCCCCGTGTATGTAATTGAGTGCAGGGCAACTCGCCGATGCAACTGTGGCACCTGACGTGGATCCTGCAGGACCGGTGCAGCCAACACTGGCGGATCCGACCCCGAATGCAGGTGTGTTATTTTGTTACTGTGCTTCGTGTGCTCTGTTGTGTACTCTCTGCTTTCGTGTTGCCCTTGCACTGCACCTCCTGCACCGGACAGCCGCTACCGCCACTGTCCCGTGCATCGAGAGAATGCTCCTCTTGTGCTAACTAATCTCGATGCACAGCCTGACCTGCCGGATAGGCTGGACTCTTGCAGTACACTCGCCTGTCCCGCTGGTGATGTGTTCTACTACTCCCCCGTGTGTGTTATTGAGTGCAGGGCAAGACCCTGGACTGGGGCCATTCACCGCCATCCTGCGTGGACCTGTCGACCAGCCAGTTGAAGGTGCACCAGGTGCGTGCATTCTCTTGCTTGGCTGAGCATAGGGCTAACGCATCTTCGCTTGTTTGTAACGCGTTCGAGACACTTCGATTTCGCTTTTGTCCGGCCTATGCACACACCATGCTGCATTTACCGCCGTTGCTGCACCATGCTATCAGCGTGGATTGCATCCTGACCCAGCTCTTGCGCATCTGTTGTCTGCTTATGCAGTCGATCCGGCAGCTGCCACTCTGGACGAGCTGGAGCTGATCCTGCCACAGCCGTCGAATGTGGGCGATGATGGCAGCGAAATCGACCGCTTCCCGGGCCGAGTGGAGGACCTTCTGACTGGCCGCGCACGGCTTGCGTTTGCGGCTGGTGGCCGTGACAGCCACGTGCTGGATGACCGTCATCCCGCCATCCTCACCCTCTGCTTCCCCCAGTCCTTCCCGTACGGCTTTTCTGGTCAGCGCCCCCGCGGCATGTCTTTTCCGGCGTATTGTCGCCACCTGCTGCACCGCGTGCCACGGACGCAATTCGGCGGCAATCTCATGCTGCTGGCACGCATGTACGACATCTGCATGCGCCACGAAAGCATGGCGCAAGTGGGCATTACCATGAACATGCGGCCGCATCTTGGCGAACCAGCAGCGCGTGTGCCGCGTGATGTCATCCGTGCTATGGGCACCATACTGGCGCTGCCGTATCGGCACTCACAGCGGCGGCAGCTGCTTGCACAGCAGTCGCCGCTGGTTAAGGCGCTGGTGGAGGGGGCCCGCCTCAGTACTCTGCGCCTCGACCTCACAGACGCGTATTACAACGGTGCCCGATCCAAGATGCGTGCAGCCGCCCTCACCATTGGCTGGCCCCCGCTGTTCTTCACCGTAAATCCGGCAGATATGCATGCAGCCTGTGCAGTCGTGACCTCCGGACAGGTATTGGACTTCAATGATGACGGACGACCGCAACATATCCCGAGCACAGTGGAGAAGTGGCGGCGTGTGAAGGATGACCCGTACAGTTGCGCCGCCCTGCTGGTGGCCACCAAGGAGGTTCTGGTGGAGGAGCTATTCGGCTTCGCGCCGGGCGCCATGCAGCAGACAAACCCGCGCTGCTTCTGCTGGCTCACGTTTGAGGTGGCGGTCAAGGTGGAGCAGAGCGGCCGCCTCGCCCTGCACATCCACGGTGTTGCGCATGTGGCCACGTTCGCAGTCGAGCGCCTTCAGGCGCTGTTCAGTGGACCCAACTGCCGAGCGCTGGCCCTGGCATACGCCCTGTGCGCCATGTGGTATCCCTCGCCGTACTATGACCCTTTCACCCGCGGTGCAGAACACTACGTCATGGACATGACCGTCGAAGAGGTCCAGCAGCATGGCCGTGCACCTCCGCCCGTGGACAAGTCCTGCCCGCCTGCAGCGTACGATTTTGGCAGGCTCGCCGGCTGTGCAGGTGGCGGACTCCTGCCGCCTCCCCGGCACGCTGCTTGTCGCGCGCACCATGCGGCCGTCGTTCGCAGCACGCTTACTCATACGCATAACGACACCTGCAAGCGACACGGCTGCCGTGGCACAGATGATAGCTGTGGCATGGCGTTCCCTCGTGTCCTGCGCAGCGCCTTCCAGTGGATTGGCACCAGCGGCCTCTTCCTTCTGCCGCGATTGGGCCCGAACATTGTACCGCACATGCCAGCTGCAGCGCTGGCATTTGGGTGCAACCAGCTGTTTACTCTGGCGTGCGAGGTGGATCGCGTCTACACTGCAGAGGCAGCAGCGCAACTGGCCCGCCCTGAAGATGAACGGGGGGACTGTGCGCTGCTGCAGCCTGCTGCTGACCGCGCCCGCGACGCTGCCTACTACAGCACGAAGTACACTGGCAAGAGCATAAACGACAGCCAGGCGCAGCTGACATGCAACGCTCTTACCCGAGTGCAGGATTTCCTGCTAGCTGGAAGGATGCCGAATCCGGGTGCCACTGGGCCCACTGCGTTTGGCAACATGTGTGCCACCGTGCATCGCATGACCGCTTCCATTACGGCTGGTATGGCGCTTGTCGCCATGAAGCTGGACGGTCATTCCACCTTCGAAGCGACGTTCGAGTGTGCATACCTGCAGGTAGACGCATTCACGGCGCTATCTGCGGGCGCGGAGCAATCTCCTGAGGCGGCGACCACAGCGGCGGTACTGGTGGAGGCTGAGGAGCAGGAGGCCTACACGGTGACCAACGCCGTGCAGAGCTACGTGCTGCAGGGGGAAGAACTCAGCGGCCTGGACTGCAGCGTGTACAACCTATCCTCCAACTATGAGGTCCGACGTGTGCCGCCAGCTCAGCACCCGCACCGAGAGTGATTGGGTCTACAGATCCCGGTGGCAGTTCGACGTCGTAAGCGCACTACCCCAGCCGCACCCATAACCGCCCCTGTGCCTGCCCCTGTGCCTCTGCCGACTGCAGCCCCGGCCCCTCCTCCTGAGCCACCTGCTCCTACAGCTGCAGCGACACTCGACCAGCCAACGTCTCAGACAGCCACGGAGCTGCCCCGCCTGGTGGCCTTCCACGGCACGCATCTGCTCTACAGAACACATGTCCACGTCCGCCTGCCGCGGCCGCGCTACGTACAGCTTGGAGGCTCTCTTCCCCGCCGGCCCCGCCCTGGCACCTCTGCTGCGGGCATGGCGCAGTACTACGCGTTTGTCCTGGGTACTTTCAAGGCTCACCGGGGTCAGCCCATCCCCCCCGGGCTGACTGTAAAGGAAGCCTACGACACCTGGTGGGCAGAGCTGGGCACTACCGAGGCAGGTCGCTCGTACCAGGCGTATGTATCGGTGCTGCTGGACAACATCGAAGAGGACCACGCTGGGAAAGCCCGCCGTCAGGCGGAGTACAACCAGCGGCGCCGCCAGCAGCGTGCGGCATCGGCAGCAGCCGCGCTGCCTGAAGGTGACAGCACGAGCGCTTCGGATGGAGATGCCGATGACGGCATCCGCGGGCATCTCAGACCTGATCCTGAAACACAGCCGCCCGCCGAGGACCAGCTGGAGCACTTCGTGTACATCCCAGGTCAGGAGTATCCGACGGCTGGCACCGACCTCGCCGCCGTCGCTCTTACTGACCTGTTTGACTGCACCAACGCTGCTGGCGCGTATGCCTATGATGCAGCACGGCGCTGCCGAGCCCCGGCCCTAGCGGACGGCCATGGTGCACGCAGCGATCATTTCAGCCGTCGGATCACGCCAGCGGACCTGCCCCTCCTGACTGAAGCAACCAAGCGTCTGAAGCGGTATCTCGTTGCAGCAGCAGCTGGCACTGTTGAGGCAGATGGGGGCGCCCACACGGGACTGACGGCCACACCTGAGATGGACACCCCTCGTGTCGAGCTGCACCGCCCCACCAGCGGACCCCTGGTCGCCATTGTGCGCATGCCTGGCACTCCTGAGCGGACTGAACAGGCTCGCATGCCCATCTATGTGCACCTCCCCCAGCCGCCCAGCATCGACGACACCATCGAGCTGTTCACGCTTGCCCCCCACCAGGCCGTGCCCTTCATGCTCATGGCTCGGTACTTCGATCATCGCGATGAGCCCAACCCTGGCGACCCGCCGCAGATGCTTGTGGAGGGCAAGCCCGGTACCGGAAAGAGCCAGTTCGTACAAGCGCTCCTGTGGTACACCTTCCAGCATGGCTGTCCGCACTGGGCGGCCACCTGCGCCTACTCATGGGCTGCTGCAACTGCCTTCAGCACACCGGTGCATCGCAGCCTCTCTACCCACGCCATGTTTGCCCTATCTGCTGGCAGCAACCGAGCGGACAGCGTCAGGAAAGGCAGCGCAGCCAGCCTACAGGTGCATCGGAATGTCGGCGATGGTGCACTCATCATTGACGAGATCGGCATGAACAGCCTGGACCACCTGGGTGCGTGCAACCAGTCCTGCACTCATCACCTGTTGCCGCCACCGCATCTCGCCAGCGACCACCCCGCCGCCACCATCTTCAGCGGCCGTCCTAGCGCCAACACGGGCGACGAGTTCCAGCACCCGAAGCCAGGTGGCCCACCCCTCTACAAGTACGCCGTTGCTGTGGAATGCAACCCTCAGTTCTCGCCCTCTGTCCCAACCGCGCAACCTCTGCACGGAGAGGAGGACAACGATGACGACCCTAATGAGGCCGCCGCTGGATCTCAAGGCGGTCAGCAGCAACCTGAAGCAGCAGCACGCCGGCCCCGGGCCGTCCCACAGACGCAGAGCTGCATACTTGAGGGCTTCCGGGTTTACCGATCCCTGGCTAAGACGGTCTTCTTGCTGGAGAAGCAGCAGCGCCAGGACAGCAGCCCCTCTGGTCGTCGCCTGACAGAGTATGCCTCTATGTTTGGCGGTGAGCCAGCCACCGAGCAGCGCATAGCCGAGATGGTCGACGACCTTAACAGCCGTGCCATCGTCGACTTGGCCGACCTGGCACACCTCGAGCCGCGCGTCGTGCTGCAGAGGAACGAACCACGCCACACACTCAATACCCGGCTCATCATGCTGGAGGCACAGCGCAAGAATCAGCGCCTTGTGGTGTGGAATGCGGACCACGTCCCTGTCCAGAAGCGTGGTGCTGCTGCGGAACCGGCCCTGACACACGTGGAGAAAGCAGTTGCAATGCGGATCAAGGATCACGAGTTTGGCCACACCACCGCCGACACGTGGTACTACCATGGCGCCCGATACATCCTCCTTGATACGACAGCTGCCGATGCCGGAGCGAGCCACAACAACGAGGTGGAAGCCTGCGGCCTGCTTGAGGATGGCCGCGAGCCAGCCGATGACGGCCGTGGCCCCTACCGCCGGCTCAAGTACCTTCCGGTGGCCGTCATTGTGCGGCCTATAAGCGGCCACATCCCCGGCACCGTGCTGCAGGGCCTTGGAGACTACGCCAGCAGGGGTGGTGCCTTCATCCTGTCACCCCGGGCGTCTTGCATTGCCGAGGTGGAGATGCCTGCCGCCGGGTACGGCACCATCACAAAGCAGATCCGGCGCCTGAACGTGCCGCTCGGCGACCGCCAGGCGGTCACCGATTACTTCGTGCAAGGCCGCAGCTTCAAAGACGAGTGCTGGCTGGTGGATCTCGCTGTCCCACCCAACGGCATCAAGCGCGCCACCCTGTATGTGCTGCTGACCCGCTTCAAGACGCTGGACCACGTCCGTCTGCTCCGGCCGCTCTACACTACACCGCACGAGCGCAAGAGGATAATCAAGCAGTTCCTCAGCGCGACTAACCTCGAGCCGGACCTGGCCGCCAACCTGCGCCTGCTGAAGCAGGCAGCGCGCGAGACCGAGCAGCACTATACAGCCGAGTTCCAGCATGCGCGACAGCTGGAAGCGCGCTGGACCGGCCCGGTCCAGGCCTAGTTGAGTTGAGTTGAGTTGAGTTGAGTTGAGTTGAAACCGCGACCCGCCACTGTACGGCGTTAAATGACAGCGTCCGGAGTAAGGGGGACACTCCGGACGACACGCTCGCTCCCTACGGGCAGGAATGGGGAGCCGCCCACCAATGTGTGGAGCCCCCTGCGGGTTCGACTCCCGCGCGAGCGCTTCACAGGATAGATCCGCGTGCTAGACTCCGCAATCTCTTGTGTGTAAGTGTGAAGCTAAAGCGCGCTGTTCGCGCAAGTGGGCCGTAGCTCCGCAGCAAGTAGCTTGCGGCCCTTACAAGCACGACACATATACTGGTCCGCGCAATGCAGAAATCAGGCATCAGCCAGCAGCCACCAGGAGCTACGGCCCACTCGCGCGAACAGCGCGCTCTAGTCCGTCGCCGTAGCTCCTACGAAGTAGGAAAGCGGAGGCCTTAGGCCGATCCGGCGTCCGTCTGTCGCCGTAGCTCCTACGAAGTAGGAAAGCGGAGGCCTTAGGCCGATCCGGCGTCCGTCTGTCCGTCGTTCCGTCTCTCCGTCTGTCCACCCAGTCGCCGGTTCAACCCCTAGTGCGCCGCTTTTTTCTTTTTGCGCGCCGCTTTTCTTCTTTTTTTTCTTCGTATGCTTCATATGCTTCATATGCTATGCTTCATATGCTTCATATGCACATATGCATCTTATGCGATATGCGATATGCAGCGATAGCAGATCGCAAACTTCAACGTGCAAATTTCAGCACACGCACATATGCATGATATGCTTCATATGCTTCATATGCTTGATATGCACATATGCACATCTGCGTCTTATGCGATATGCGATATGCAGCGATAGCAGGTCGCAAACTTCAACGTGCAAACTTCAACACGCGCACTTCACGATACGTGCACACGCACATATGCATGATATGCTTCATATGCTTCATATGCTTGATATGCACATATGCATATTATGCGATATGCGATATGCAGCGATAGCAGATCGCAAACTTCAACGTGCAAACTTCAACACACGCACATATGCATGATATGCTTCATATGCTTCATATGCTTGATATGCACATATGCACATCTGCATCTTATGCGATATGCGATATGCAGCGATAGCAGATCGCAAACTTCAACGTGCAACCTTCACCACGCAAATTTCGACGCGCAAACTGCTGCCGAACTTTGCACGTTTAACTACTATATTCCTAATTTCAACGCACGAAGCCCGACACGTAAGGCTAAACATCCACACTTCGACGCGCAGCAAACTTTTACA